TTTCTCAATTAAAACACTGAAAAAAACCTTAGATTTTCTAGGTTTGAAAACATATCATGGACATTTTGTTTTTTTTTTAAAACATAAATTTCATAAGTAATCTTCATCATCTATTTCTTCTAAAAGAAGAAGAAGTGTCTTCTTTTTCTGCAGATTAGTAAGTGACATGATATCTACGTCCTACACTGCACTGTATAAAATATTTTAGGTATTCACTATACCTATAAAATAATAATTAACAATACACTGCTGACTGTTGAAACGTAGAAAAACTACTGAAGGGCTCTAATAAATAACATTTTATTTTGTGTGAAAAATATGAGCAGTGCGTCTCTTGCGGCTGCGTTTAAATCCTAAGAAATCCGTGATCGGCCGCGCGTCCAAAATCTCGGACGCACTGCGGCAGCCGCATTGGCCGTGCGTCTACAGACGCGTCCTAAGGAATCGCACCTTTAGAGCTGCACCCACGGTTGAGTCTCGCCAGCTCTGCCTTCACCATTCTTACAATAAGGGACGGCTCCGATGACTTCATCCAACGTTTTTACCCAAGCATGGATGTCAAATGCCAAACTGTTACCGTTGAAATAGACTCCTCACTATGGCCTTCACGAAACGCCTCCCGTGCCAACTCGAGAGCCCTCGGCTTTGACAGCAAACTCTCCGCTCTGTCCACGATTTACTTGTAATTCCCGATGGTGAGATCCACCATCGGGAATTGAAGCTGAACCGTGTCCAGGCTTCGAATTTTCTGCCAAAACTCGTCGAGCGATGGCAACTCGGTGTAAGGGTCGTTGACAATCATGTAATGATCGATGCTAGAAAAAAAACGATTTACAAATATCATAATAAAATTGTTGTTGTTTGTAAATACTTACTTGGACACGATGAACTCTCTCAATTTAGACGAATGTTCGATTGTTGTCATGGCGCGGTTTTGCTCGATTGCAGCGTGGGCCGACGGCACGTGGTAACACCTCGCAACCGTGGCCTCACTGTGCTGCAAGCAGCTCGCCAACAGCTTCTTAGCGCAGGATCGTGGGAATTCCGGCCCGTCTCTATTTTGTTTCCGTACTTAGGGTGCCCGATACCTTCAGGATTTCCCTGACCATTCGCTTAGCCTTACCGGGCCACCCTAATCTTCCTCTGTTTGCATTTCGTGGTTAAGTAAGTCGACATAATTTTGTCAAGGCCTTGCCGGTATTTGGGACGAAGAAATTACCAAGGTTCCGGCCCAGAAGTCGTAGGTTTAACCCTGTCTGCTCCAAAGTTTTCGCGATCTGAAAAAAAAATTTAATTTAATTAACAAATTATTAATTCATCAGGTATATTTAGTATTATTTATGAAATCATTCAAAGACTAACTTTCCAGTTCGTTTGTTTTTTTTCCCATTTATTACTTTTGGAGGAAAACGGTTCAATTTGGCGCGAGTGTGCTGTTGAATGCGATCTCCAACTACTAACAAAGTTATCCTCCATTCTCACTCTTCCGTTTTTGAAACGAGGTCCTCAATAAGTGCGGAGGAGGGTAAGCTGTTGAGCCGCCAGTAATTTGTTCGAAAACGTTTTAATGCCGTCGACAACATACCCCGTGTACATACTCCTATAACAGTCAGTTATTTTTACTTTTTTCTCGTCCAGCGCCACAAGGAAAAAGAGAGCAAACATAACAGAACACTGCATCCTTAATTATGATATACTCTAAATGTGGGAATTCTTCAAACCATGAATATTTAAAACTATATTTTTCTGTTCGTGGATGAACATTTAACATTGGTTGATGAGGCCCCAACATTATTAAATACTGACGTTGATTATCAGAAATAATTTTTGTTCTTTTTCCTGGATCATGTTCAACTACACTATCAATCACTTCTACTTCAGATATATTACCAGATTGACTCTCAAGTTGTGCTGTTATATCATTACATTTTTCTAGTATAGAATTTGAAATTTTTATAATATTATCTATAGCTTCTTTTATTTCAACTACTATTTTACTATTTTGTAAGCATTTAATACTTCAGCTTCTTAGAAATTGTGAATAATAGGTTTGCATAGTTTTATATAATCAAAAATGTATCTGAATTATCCAACACAATTCAATACACTATCTGTTAAAACTTTTAGTTTCACTGTTGTTCACTTTCAGTAGTATTTGATGGAAAATATTTTAAATTAGCATATGGTAAAATTTCAATGTTTTATTTAATATATTCTATGTTATCAAATAAAATATGGTACTTACCTTCTCCAATAAATGTATATGTTGGCCATTGCTGACGTCGAGGGGCTACGTCATCCATACTATCACTGGCAACAGTTGACACATCCATTTTTTTCTACTAGGACATTAGTTTTAAATTCAAGTTCTGAATTAACCTAAGACAAATAAAACATGTATTAAATAAATTTGTATTTATATGATAGAGGGAAAATAGTCTAATATAGTATCGAATAATTATATAAGTAGTATAAAGTAGTTATAACAATTTAGGAACAATCAGTAAAGTACATAATAATAATTAGAAATACATTTTTTAAAGATATTTTACCAAAATATATTATAATATTGTTCGGTATTTAAAGTGGACTGTATACTTTTATTTTAAATTGGTTAGTGTTTTATTATATTATACACAATAATGATCTTCGGTGGACGGTATAGTACAACGTTCGAGAGACTACGAATGACAACTGATCGGCAAACACATTATTGTCGTTACGATCGCCAGGCGAATAAATGTTATCGCGGGCCGTGACAGTCGAGATAATACAATTTATTACAGTGATATTATAGGTATCTACCTATCATACCGCCCATCTTTAAATAATAATTTAAAATATTTCAATAATTATAATAATAAATAATTATACAATTTTTGCTATTCAATATCAGAACATAAATATAAATACAAATACAAAAAATAAAAATAATAATAATAATATTTAATTATGATTGCCTTCAAAGGGAAAAGGACATAAAAATCGGACTGCTCTTTTGAATTGACCACTTGAGGTTGAAATAGTTGCCACACGAATGACTCCGTCACTTCCGACATGCACTTCTTCAAATCGTCCTATTTTCCAGCGCAAAGGGGGAAGATTATCATCAAGCAGGAGTACAACAGTGCCAATTCGAAGCCTAGGTCCTCTGTCATTTTCCCACTTATTCGCTGTTGTAGTTGCACCAAATAATCTTTAGACCAGCGGCGCCAAAATTCTTGAAACAAATGACTCACTCTTCTCCACCTCGTTAATCTATTGAGAGGTGTTGTCGTGAAATCGGGTTCTGGCAAAGAGACTAAAGAGCTTCCCACCAGAAAATGACCGGGAGTAAATACAGAAGGATCAGATGGATCAGATGATAAAGGAGTCAACGGGCGTGAATTTAAGCACTCTTCTATTTGAGCAAGCACAGTGTTTAATTCCTCGTAGGTTAAAATAGCGTTTCCCAATAGTTTATTTAAGTGAGTTTTTACTGATTTAATGGCCGCTTCCCATAGACCGCCAAAATTAGGGGATCTAGGAGGGATGAAATGAAAACGTATTCCAAGTTATGCCGTTAATTTTTGGATTTCGGGATCTAACGTGTCTGATAAAAATAAATTTTTAAGTTCCTGTAACTTGCGGTTAGCACCCACGAAATTTGTGGCATTATCTGAGTAAATTTCTGAGCATATTCCTCGCCTGCTGCAAAATCGTCTCAGTGCATTTAAAAAACATTCAGTTGATAAATCACTAGCTAATTTTATATGTATTGCTTTGGTCGCGAAGCATACAAATATACATATATAGCCTTTGGTTATAGGAGCTTTGCGTTGTAAACTAGATTTTACCATAACGGGACCACCATAATCAATTCCGCATATTTTAAAAGGACGACTTGGATTTACGTGTTCCTTTGGCGATTACCCATTAATGATGAACTATTGTTGGTTTTATTCGGAAGCACGTAATGCACTGATGTACAGTTTTTCTGGCTATATTCCTGCCGTTAATAGGCCAATATTGTTCTCTAATTGATGACAAAATCGCTTGCGGACCCGCATGCAGTAATCGTATGTGCTCATAATGAAATAGTAATGTCGTTAAATTACTCGTCGCAGGTAGTAGTATTGGGTTCCGCTGAAATACGCTTATCGATGTGGCATTATTTAATCGACCGCCTACTCTAATTACACCATTATCGTCTACGAACGGCTTCAAATATTTTAATTTACTTTTCGCGGAGACCTGTTTATATTTTTGCAAATCTTTTATTTCCTGACTCCAAGTTTAGTTTTGAACCATTTTAATTAATACAACCAATGTGTTTCGCAGCTCGTCCGCTTGGATTGGTCCTATGATTCGATTTTTGCATTTTAATGTATTTGTTTTAAAACGTAGACAGAGAGAAACAATTCTCAACAATTTTGAAAATGAAAAATATTTTTCTATAATTGAATTTTCTATTTGAACACTAAATATTTGAGTCCACCGTTTGGCTTCTAAAATTTCTTGAGACTCGTCGATTTTTCGTGCAATGCTTTTCGGCCACATTTCCTTTTTTAATTTCAACCAAATGGGACCCTCCCACCATAATAAGTTATTGCTTATATCATTTGGTGTGCAACCGCGCGATATTATATCTGCGGGATTGTCATTAGTTGGAACGTGATACCATTCAGAGACCGAAGTATAACTTTGGATTTCTCCGACGCGGTGGGCAACAAATGTTTTCCATTTCACTGACGAGGATTTAATCCACGCGAGTGTGACCGTTGAGTCAGTCCAGAAATATTTTTCATGTATTTGAATATTTAATTTTTTTATAATTTTCTTCGTAAGTCGGGCAAGTAATTGTGCGCCACACAATTCTAATCGAGGTAACGATATAGTTTTTAAGGGAGCCACTCGAGATTTAGCACATATTAATCGGACAGTGCATACTTGATCTTCATTTATTGTTCTTAAATATAAACATGCACCATAAGCTACAATTGATGCATCCGAAAATCCGTGTATTTCTAACCGATGTATATTACCAGAACCCATAATGTACAGTGTTATTTTTAAATTATTTAATAAATGAAGATTGGACATATATTTTGGCCATTCATGTAATAGATTTTTTGGAAGTTCGCTGTCCCAGTCTAATTTCATTTGCCATATTTTTTGCATAAATAATTTATACAATGTGACTACTGGTACTATTAACCCGAGCGGGTCAAATATAGACGCGATTTTCGACAGAATAATCCGCTTGGTTAATTTTTTTTCACTATTGTCTATCGTTTGAATATTATATTGGTAGGTGTCGCTAATCCTAAGATTTTAGTTACGTCATTCTTCAAATCTAAAACTAACAATTGAGTATTATCTTCATTTGGCATATCATTTAGAAGTTAATTATCATTGGATACCCATTTACGAAGTTCAAAGCCAGCTTGACGGGTTACTTTTATTAAATCATTTCGTAACTGAAATGCTTTTTCCTTTGTAGATGCACCTCCTAGGTAGTCGTCGACACAAAAGTCTGTGACAATTGCTTCGCAGGCCACGGGGTAATTGTTAAACTCAACCCAAAGATGTTCGGCACGAACCGTCGAATACCACGCGTAATTTTGTGCGTAAACTGTCTAACTTTTCGACAGCATGATGTGGAAGAAAATATTTATTAGTGTTATTTTCGTGTTCAGTATCAACCAATTCCATATGCCCTAATGATGTATATTCCTGCATAAAATTTATATATTGAGCATGGAGATGCGGATTCTTAATGAAACGCTTTTCTAAAGCTGGGCGCTTTTCTAAAGAGGGGTCTAGCGGCGCGGCGCGACGCGGAGCGGCACAATAAAATAATGCCTGTAAACTAATACAGATCCGTCCACAAGAAGATCGGCGCGGAACGACGCGGCGCGACGCCGCTCTCGGGAGCTCCAGCGACTTTTCGAGGTCGGCGGCGCGTCGCTCCGCGCTGGTTCACCGACCTAATGGAGGGTAGTGTGGTCGGATTCGCCCATGTTCGTTTGCTGTCGGTTAGTATCGGAGTATTGTCGTGACACGTGCGCGCATACGCTTATCATGTTTTCAGTTATCAGTTTATCACGTTTTAAATTTCAATACAAATATATTATTTTAATTTTAAATGTTTTCAACATTTCAACATAAATTCTAAGATAAACTACCTCACTCTTCAATATCATCCATCACACAACATCACGGTAAGTTTATATACAAACAATTTATAAGTAGGTAGCATTTTAAATTTCTCATCATATACCTATACCTAATATAGTGTTATTTTGTTTGATGTTAAAGAACACTTTGGGACCTAAGAATATATTTTTATATTTAATACAAAATATATTGTAAAGTGTATGAGCACAAAATGTATTGTGCTATATGTGTAAAGGTATTATGATACTGGAATAAAATAATTGCCAAAGTCTTTTGAAAGTAAGAAATCTAAGCAATTTATTCAATATTAAAAAAGTACAAAATAGTAAACTATTTTATGCAAATGTATGCCTCACTGATTAATATAATACTTGTTTATTAAAATAATTGTAAGAGTTGTTGGTATTTTTTTTATATTTTATTTTCTACTGTTACATCAGTTAAAACTTTTTAAGAGTATTGGTATTAACACTATTGTTAAAATAAACCTAAAGAATATTATTTTTAAGTAGTATAATCTTTAATTTAAAATTAATGTCTATATTTAAAAAAATCTTAAATTTTATATACAAATAATACATTAATACTTAATGAATAATTTGGCATATTTTTCAAATTCTCAAGAGAATACGAAGATATTTTCTCTATAAAAACTAAGTTGAGGTTAAAAACTCATAATACATGTAATATAAATTGTCAAGTAGGTGATGAAATTATATTAATTATATATTTATATATCATACTGAATTACATAGAAAAATTAAGAACAATAAGAAGCAAATTATACTTTACTAACCCATTACCTGACCATAAAGAATGTTATTATTATTTTTGATTTTAGGTATCTAGCAATGGAAGAGCTTTCAGATGAAAGATTAATTTTACATGTACAGCAATACAAACATTTGTAAGACTTGCAGGATGCAAACTATCATAACAATGTTATGAGGGAAAATAGCTGGGAGGAAATTGGAGCGCTATTTAATACACAAGGTAATAAAACACAATATCAAGTATAGAATAGTTAAAATCTTATTATATTACATTTTATATGAAAATATCTTGCTGCTTCAATTGTATTGTCTTCCCCGCTGAACTGCTCGAACTTGCCACTCTACTGATCCATCTGGTGATGAAAAATAATTTTTGAACTTCTCCCTTGTTGAATAACTACTTCCAGCAAATGCACCTCCAACATGCATTAAATTTTGAAGAGCATTATTTTGAGGACTTGAAGAAGCAAACTTCATCTTCCAATACTCCTGATAATATAGTAATAGAATCCGTTTTTAGAAAATTATGTAAAACACATGTAGCTAAAACAATTTTGTTCACATATTTAGGTTTAACCTCTAGTCTTCTCTGATATACACGGAATCTTTTACTTAAAATTACAAAGGCGTCTTCACTTGTGTTTCTTGCTCTACTTAATCTCAAATTGAATATTTTTTTGTCTTCATTATTTATTAGCTCATTGCCAGGATAAGGTCTCATAAGGTTTCTCTGAAGAGGAAACGCTTCATCCCCTACAATTACATGAGGCATAGGCTCTTCTGTGCCGGGTAATGGTGCGTCTTCAGGAAAATCTAATTGCCCTTCTTTAAGTCTTTTACCAAAATTACAATTAGCAAATATGCTACCATCACTATTTTTTCCATATACCCCAACGTCAATCATGGTAAATTTGCATTCTGCGTCAACAACAGCCATTAATACTATACTACAACATTTCTTATAATTGAAATATAATGAGCCACTGTGGTAAGGCTTATTGATTACAACATGTTTCCCATCAACAGAGCCGACACAATTGGGATAATTCCACCTTGTTCTAAATTCTTGTTCAATTTTTTTCCATTTTTCTTTATTAGGTGGTAACAAATACAAAGGCTCTCCTTTTCCAAATAGCGTCACAGGTTTCATACACGATTCGACGTACAGTCTTATGTCTTTGTCTGTAACTAAATGCAATCGTCCCAAAAAAATCTCCAGTTGCTAAAAACCTATTGAATAGATACATCTAAAGTTAATATAATTAACAATAAATAATTAAAATTAAAGGTTTATATTTAAACACTAACCATACAGTAAGTAATACCCAATTTTTTTAGGATCCGAATGTAAATTGAAATGGAAGTCATTGAGAGAAAGTTACAGAAAAGCTATGAGTGCAAGAAAGCTTAAAAGTGGCGAAAGTGCAAAAAAAATTAAACCTTGGAGTCTAGAAGCTCAAATGGAGTTCATTAAACCTTATTTGTTTACTGAAAACGACAATGAAGTTAGTAACATTCCTGCTCTTCCTGAATCTCCTATTTCAGTTTCTTCTCCATTAAACGATTCAACATTTGTATATGAAGAATCATGTGAGGCAATTGAGAAAAATGATGAACTTAACACCCATCATAAAGAGACTTCAGGAAAAAAGTTCTTGGTAACTAAAAAAAAACTGATACAGCTGCAGACGTGCTACGCCAGTACATAGACATGAAGAAGTCATCTAATATTAATCCAAAAATTGACCAACTTGGTAAATATTTCCAAAGTATAGAAAGTATGGTAAGATCTCTACCATCATATATTCAGATTAAACTAAAATCACAAATCTCTCAACTTGTTCATAATGCTGAATTGGAAGCAGTCTCTACAACAAGTCCACCAATGCCAACAAATACTAGATCATCAATATTAGATCTAGAGCCTACCTATCATTCAATGTCATTTCCAATTTCCTATTCATCCACTTACCCAACAACACCTCATAATATGTCTGAACCTCAAAATCAAGCAAACAACCCAAGTCATGATTTACATGACAAAGATGTATACAAAAACTTTTATTAGGTATGAAAAATTTGTTGATCATTCATTATTTACTTATATGTTTAAAATTATTTAGTATTTATTAATTATCAAAAACTGTTCACAATTTATCAAATCAAAAATTTTTAATTGTTAATATTTCAAGTTGGAAAATTTTTAATAATTTGTTTTTTATTATAATTATTTTCCCCACATAACAGGAATTGTTTTATTTTGTTTTATTTATTTTATTATACATTTATAACTCATTCATATACTTGAAAAATAAATAAATTTTTTTTATTAAAATAAAAAAAATCCTGATTTGTAATACATTAATTATGTTTCATATTTACTTGAGACAAGTTGCAAGTCTTTCCTCTGAAGGTATTGCCAATCTAAAAGTTGTATCTTGCTTTTCAATATCAGGTCTGATAATATCTAGAAGTTCATAAAATTTTTCTTGTGACATTCTAAAGTATTTCAAGAATTTCTTCGAATCCTTTAAGAGATCTTGGAATAGGTGATTATGTTCACCAAATATTAGCCGTTTAGAATTTATTTCATGGACCCACATCTTTTTGCCTCTATCACCGTAGCAAGGAACAGTATTTCTTCTTCAGAATCGGAAGATTCCATTTTTTTGTGTGAAATTAATCTATATATATAAAAATGAATGTATGTCAGTGTGTGTGTCTGTGTGTCTGTGTGTCCATGTTACCATGGTTACCAAGGTTGCCATGGTTACTAAGGTTACCAAGATTTCATATCAATCTATATATATAAAAATGAATGTATGTCAGTGTGTGTGTGTGTGTGTGTGTCCATATTACCATGGCAACCATATCTGTATATAAAAAACAGTAAGCTGATTGACTGCTATCAACGCACAGCTCAAACCATTGGACGGATCTGGCTGAAATTTGGCATACAGATAGCTATTATAATATAGACGTGCGCTAAGAAAGGATTTGCCAAAATTCGCATTTTAAATAGGTGCTGAAACAGGGACATTGAGATTCACGATAGAAATTGGAAATTTTATTTTTATTTATTTATAGTTGCCATTGGTTACAGTCTACATTAGAAATTAGCATTTATTTATTGGTTGCCATTGGTTATTCGGGCAGATCAGGTACAAGCTTGCATCAAATCGAATTATTGAACAATGCTTACCAGGGTGGCAGAGTTGCACACTTACCGCAGAAAATTACACCCAAAAGGAGTTCAACAATCATAATTTTTTTAAGAGTTGCGATTTTTTACGAGCAACCAAATTTATAAACTTGGTATAACTTTGATACTTTAGAGTTAAATCATACACTTCCGTACAAACAGCACGGGGTCCGCGATCTACCGCAGGTAGATTGCCTACCTGATAATGTACTGCTGCGATTCAGAATTTTTATTCAGGGCAACGGGAAAGATAAGATACACCATACACGTTAATGAATTGAACAAAGTTTGAGTAGGTAGTATTGAGTTGATCCATTTAACGGGCTACGAAGTGCACGGGATCAGCTAGTAATTTAATAATATAAACATAAAACAAAAAAAACGTTCATCAACAATTTTTATACACTGAATAATAAATATAGATATTATTTATTTACTTTTTTATTTAATTAAATTTATTAAATTGAGCTTATTTTTTAGAATAAAATAAAGTAATGTATCAAAATAAAATTGATAAAACTTCTCAAATGATAAAAAACTATGAAAAATTAAAAATATATCATATATCACTTCCCAGATGATAACAAACTATGAAAAATTAAAAATATATGATATACAGTGTGTCCCAAAAGTCCCGTATCACCCTTTTCAATAAAATTTTTTACGCATTTAAGAATTTAAAATTTTTAAGATATCCATTTTGTTGAGCATATTTTTTAAAACAGTTCAAAAAAAAAAAAATACTAAAATTTAATAAAAATTTACCAAGTTAGAGCAAGTTATGTTTTTGCATAATTGTAGTAAAAAAATAAATTATTGTTTCACATTTCAATAATGAAATATCTAATTTCAGCACACGACAATACTTTTACATTCCTAATTAAAGTTTTGATTTGAATAGAAATAAAAATAGCCGTGTTATATCGTTTGCTGAACAGTGAAACTGGTTATCTATTTTTAAGTATTTTAATTATCATGAAGTGAGCCTAAAGTTACGATATTGGACATAATCTTACAGTTATAATTAATGCGATCTATAATAAAGCTAGTTGAGTAGAGTATGTTTATAAACAATTGTTATAATAGTTAGGTATGTATGCTGTTTTTAATGGTAATCTGTAAACATCCAATTATTGGTGGAGCTTTTAGGAAAGATTTTTTTTTTTTTTTTTTTTTTTTGATTTTTATAATTTTTTATTTACAATCTGTTACAATAAAAATATGAACAATAAGTAAAATAGATAATTGAATGAATAAGTGGCTTGAGGAAAGGACGGATTTAAGAAGCCTTCCAGTGAAGACACTTTAGGAAAGATTAAAATTAAAATTCAGATAATATTTTTAAACTTGATTGCTAATAGAAAAAAAGATTTTATTACATAAAAACGAAAATAATTCATTACATTTTTATTTTTACAAATGTTCAAAATGACCTCCATTATTTGCAACATTTCCTAATGTCTCGGGTAAGATATTTTGAATATGTTGTTAAATTTTATGACGAAGATCAGGCAATGAACACGACGGATACACAAGATTTTTCAAATAACCCCATAAAAAAAAATCCATCGGTGTTAAATCGGGAGACTTAGGTGGCCAAAGCACTGGACCACTTGTTCCCATCCATCTTCCCGAGAAGTGCTCGTCCAGCCAACCTCTCACAATATTTGAATGATGTGCTGGTGCACCGTCTTGCATAAAATTTGGCTCTATTCTGTTTGTATTAATTAACTGAGAAATTATTGGCCACACACTTTCTTCTAATAAATCTCGATACTTTTCTCCGTTTAAATTACCTTCTATAAAAAAGGGTTCAATGATCTGCTTATTCCAACTTCCACTCCAAACATTTAAGTTTTCTATATTTTGGGCATGAAATAAAGACTTCTGTTTTTTTTAGTTCATTCATAACACCAATTCCTAAATACATCTGTTCATTGGGTAAAAATTTTGAACTATCATCAGGTGAGACTTCTAGTGGCTTATTCATTTTAATCATGTATGAAAAAATCAACTCTAAATGTATAATTTTTTTTTTTTTTTTTCCGTGGTATCGAGAACCAGAGGGGGGACCGCGTTAGCATTACTTACCCTCTGGCCCCCATCGTTTATTGAATTAATCAACAACATTACATACTATAACAGTGGGACAATCCCCCACTTGCTATTACTCAACAAATAATTATTTTACAATACTGTACATGGAAGTCAGTCGGCAGGCTCCGCGGCTTGGCGTATTCTCTCCTCCTCCTCTTTAGTTGATAGAATCCCTTCCACCATGATATAGAACTGCCGAAAGGTCTCCTCAGCATTCCTCAGCAACGTCCACTTCTCGTTCGGGTCCGCCGGCAGCTGGTCGAACGGGGGGCCGCATACAATTTCTCCGATGTCGGCTGTTGATGGACTGTGTCCCAGCTGGGTGGCCAGCGGGATCCGGAACGCGCTCCAGTAGGGGCACTCCGTCAGGGTGTGCTCGGCAGTGTCCTCTTGGCTCAGGCACTGGAGGCAGATGGGGCTAGTGGCCTTGTCTCGCTTGTACAGGTAGGCCTGGAAGCAGCCGTGTCCCGAAAGTGCCTGTGACATGTGGTGTATAATAGTGTATAATAATTATTTATTAGTTAATTAATCAAACAAACTAAATAATATATGGATATATATTATAGGTACCTGTATATATTTCTTCCATTTTGTTATGCGTAGATGTTAAGACGAATTTTTCACTTTGAAATAATTTGTTTAATATAGTAAATTTAGGTAACACCCATTTTAGGAAATTATAAAACAATAAAATCAAAGGGTCATTCAAATAATCATATATTTTATCAGCTGAAGCAAGTTTATCTTCATATCTGTTAACATTTATTAAATACTAAGTTTTAACTTTTTAAGATATTATAAATTATGGAAAAGAAAGTGAAAAATACCTTTGTACTCTGAAAAACATTATCAATGGTTCCCATTGTTCTAGATTCCTACACACATCATCTTCTAATGAGAGCCATCTTGTTTGAGATGGCCTTAAAATTTTATGAGGCTCAACATCACAGAACAATTGGAACTCTTTAAATTGTGAAATCCTTTTTCAGAAATGTAAAATCTTTTTTTCTATTAGCAATCAAGTTTAAAAATATTATCTGAATTTTAATTTTAATCTTTCCTAAAGTGTCTTCACTGGAAGGCTTCTTAAATCCGTCCTTTCCTCAAGCCACTTATTCATTCAATTATCTATTTTACTTATTGTTCATATTTTTATTGTAACAGATTGTAAATAAAAAATTATAAAAATCAAAAAAAAAAAAAAAAAAAAAAATCTTTCCTAAAAGCTCCACCAATAATTGGATGTTTACAGATTACCATTAAAAACAGCATACATACCTAACTATTATAACAATTGTTTATAAACATACTCTACTCAACTAGCTTTATTATAGATCGCATTAATTATAACTGTAAGATTATGTCCAATATCGTAACTTTAGGCTCACTTCATGATAATTAAAATACTTAAAAATAGATAACCAGTTTCACTGTTCAGCAAACGATATAACACGGCTATTTTTATTTCTATTCAAATCAAAACTTTAATTAGGAATGTAAAAGTATTGTCGTGTGCTGAAATTAGATATTTCATTATTGAAATGTGAAACAATAATTTATTTTTTTACTACAATTATGCAAAAACATAACTTGCTCTAACTTGGTAAATTTTTATTAAATTTTAGTATTTTTTTTTTTTTGAACTGTTTTAAAAAATATGCTCAACAAAATGGATATCTTAAAAATTTTAAATTCTTAAATGCGTAAAAAATTTTATTGAAAAGGGTGATACGGGACTTTTGGGACACACTGTATATCATATATTTTTAATTTTTCATAGTTTGTTATCATCTGGGAAGTGATATATGATATATTTTTAATTTTTCATAGTTTTTTATCATTTGAGAAGTTTTATCAATTTTATTTTGATACATTACTTTATTTTATTCTAAAAAATAAGCTCAATTTAATAAATTTAATTAAATAAAAAAGTAAATAAATAATATCTATATTTATTATTCAGTGTATAAAAATTGTTGATGAACGTTTTTTTTGTTTTATGTTTATATTATTAAATTACTAGCTGATCCCGTGCACTTCGTAGCCCGTTAAATGGATCAACTCAATACTACCTACTCAAACTTTGTTCAATTCATTAACGTGTATGGTGTATCTTATCTTTCCCGTTGCCCTGAATAAAAATTCTGAATCGCAGCAGTACATTATCAGGTAGGCAATCTACCTGCGGTAGATCGCGGACCCCGTGCTGTTTGTACGGAAGTGTATGATTTAACTCTAAAGTATCAAAGTTATACCAAGTTTATAAATTTGGTTGCTCGTAAAAAATCGCAACTCTTAAAAAAATTATGATTGTTGAACTCCTTTTGGGTGTAATTTTCTGCGGTAAGTGTGCAACTCTGCCACCCTGGTAAGCATTGTTCAATAATTCGATTTGATGCAAGCTTGTACCTGATCTGCCCGAATAACCAATGGCAACCAATAAATAAATGCTAATTTCTAATGTAGACTGTAACCAATGGCAACTATAAATAAATAAAAATAAAATTTCCAATTTCTATCGTGAATCTCAATGTCCCTGTTTCAGCACCTATTTAAAATGCGAATTTTGGCAAATCCTTTCTTAGCGCACGTCTATATTATAATAGCTATCTGTATGCCAAATTTCAGCCAGATCCGTCCAATGGTTTGAGCTGTGCGTTGATAGCAGTCAATCAGCTTACTGTTTTTTATATACAGATATGGTTGCCATGGTAATATGGACACACACACACACACACACACTGACATACATTCATTTTTATATATATAGATTGATATGAAATCTTGGTAACCTTAGTAACCATGGCAACCTTGGTAACCATGGTAACATGGACACACAGACACACAGACACACACACTGACATACATTCATTTTTATATATATAGATTAATTTCACACAAAAAAATGGAATCTTCCGATTCTGAAGAAGAAATACTGTTCCTTGCTACGGTGATAGAGGCAAAAAGATGTGGGTCCATGAAATAAATTCTAAACGGCTAATATTTGGTGAACATAATCACCTATTCCAAGATCTCTTAAAGGATTCGAAGAAATTCTTGAAATACTTTAGAATGTCACAAGAAAAATTTTATGAACTTCTAGATATTATCAGACCTGATATTGAAAAGCAAGATACAACTTTTAGATTGGCAATACCTTCAGAGGAAAGACTTGCAACTTGTCTCAAGTAAATATGAAACATAATTAATGTATTACAAATCAGGATTTTTTTTATTTTAATAAAAAAAATTTATTTATTTTTCAAGTATATGAATGAGTTATAAATGTATAATAAAATAAATAAAACAAAATAAAACAATTCCTGTTATGTGGGGAAAATAATTATAATAAAAAACAAATTATTAAAAATTTTCCAACTTGAAATATTAACAATTAAAAATTTTTGATTTGATAAATTGTGAACAGTTTTTGATAATTAATAAATACTAAATAATTTTAAACATATAAGTAAATAATGAATGATCAACAAATTTTTCATACCTAATAAAAGTTTTTGTATACATCTTTGTCATGTAAATCATGACTTGGGTTGTTTGCTTGATTTTGAGGTTCAGACATATTATGAGGTGTTGTTGGGTAAGTGGATGAATAGGAAATTGGAAATGACATTGAATGATAGGTAGGCTCTAGATCTAATATTGATGATCTAGTATTTGTTGGCATTGGTGGACTTGTTGTAGAGACTGCTTCCAATTCAGCATTATGAACAAGTTGAGAGATTTGTGATTTTAGTTTAATCTGAATATATGATGGTAGAGATCTTACCATACTTTCTATACTTTGGAAATATTTACCAAGTTGGTCAATTTTTGGATTAATATTAGATGACTTCTTCATGTCTATGTACTGGCGTAGCACGTCTGCAGCTGTATCAGTTTTTTTTTAGTTACCAAGAACTTTTTTCCTGAAGTCTCTTTATGATGGGTGTTAAGTTCATCATTTTTCTCAATTGCCTCACATGATTCTTCATATACAAATGTTGAATCGTTTAATGGAGAAGAAACTGAAATAGGAGATTCAGGAAGAGCAGGAATGTTACTAACTTCATTGTCGTTTTCAGTAAACAAATAAGGTTTAATGAACTCCATTTGAGCTTCTAGACTCCAAGGTTTAATTTTTTTTGCACTTTCGCCACTTTTAAGCTTTCTTGCACTCATAGCTTTTCTGTAACTTTCTCTCAATGACTTCCATTTCAATTTACATTCGGATCCTAAAAAAATTGGGTATTACTTACTGTATGGTTAGTGTTTAAATATAAACCTTTAATTTTAATTATTTATTGTTAATTATATTAACTTTAGATGTATCTATTCAATAGGTTTTTAGCAACTGGAGATTTTTTTGGGACGATTGCATTTAGTTACAGACAAAGACATAAGACTGTACGTCGAATCGTGTATGAAACCTGTGACGCTATTTGGAAAAGGAGAGCCTTTGTATTTGTTACCACCTAATAAAGAAAAATGGAAAAAAATTGAACAAGAATTTAGAACAAGGTGGAATTATCCCAATTGTGTCGGCTCTGTTGATGGGAAACATGTTGTAATCAATAAGCCTTACCACAGTGGCTCATTATATTTCAATTATAAGAAATGTTGTAGTATAGTATTAATGGCTGTTGTTGACGCAGAATGCAAATTTACCATGATTGACGTTGGGGTATATGGAAAAAATAGTGATGGTAGCATATTTGCTAATTGTAATTTTGGTAAAAGACTTAAAGAAGGGCAATTAGATTTTCCTGAAGACGCACCATTACCCGGCACAGAAGAGCCTATGCCTCATGTAATTGTAGGGGATGAAGCGTTTCCTCTTCAGAGAAACCTTATGAGACCTTATCCTGGCAATGAGCTAATAAATAATGAAGACAAAAAAATATTCAATTTGAGATTAAGTAGAGCAAGAAACACAAGTGAAGACGCCTTTGTAATTTTAAGTAAAAGATTCCGTGTATATCAGAGAAGACTAGAGGTTAAACCTAAATATGTGAACAAAATTGTTTTAGCTACATGTGTTTTACATAATTTTCTAAAAACGGATTCTATTACTATATTATCAGGAGTATTGGAAGATGAAGTTTGCTTCTTCAAGTCCTCAAAATAATGCTCTTCAAAATTTAATGCATGTTGGAGGTGCATTTGCTGGAAGTAGTTATTCAACAAGGGAGAAGTTCAAAAATTATTTTTCATCACCAGATGGATCAGTAGAGTGGCAAGTTCGAGCAGTTCAGCGGGGAAGACAATACAATTGAAGCAGCAAGATATTTTCATATAAAATGTAATATAATAAGATTTTAACTATTCTATACTTGATATTGTGTTTTATTACCTTGTGTATTAAATAGCGCTCCAATTTCCTCCCAGCTATTTTCCCTCATAACATTGTTATGATAGTTTGCATCCTGCAAGTCTTACAAATGTTTGTATTGCTGTACATGTAAAATTAATCTTTCATCTGAAAGCTCTTCCATTGCTAGATACCTAAAATCAAAAATAATAATAACATTCTTTATGGTCAGGTAATGGGTTAGTAAAGTATAATTTGCTTCTTATTGTTCTTAATTTTTCTATGTAATTCAGTATGATATATAAATATATAATTAATATAATTTCATCACCTACTTGACAATTTATATTACATGTATTATGAGTTTTTAACCTCAACTTAGTTTTTATAGAGAAAATATCTTCGTATTCTCTTGAGAATTTGAAAAATATGCCAAATTATTCATTAAGTATTAATGTATTATTTGTATATAAAATTTAAGATTTTTTTAAATATAGACATTAATTTTAAATTAAAGATTATACTACTTAAAAATAATATTCTTTAGGTTTATTTTAACAATAGTGTTAATACCAATACTCTTAAAAAGTTTTAACTGATGTAACAGTAGAAAATAAAATATAAAAAAATACCAACAACTCTTACAATTATTTTAATAAACAAGTATTATATTAATCAGTGAGGCATACATTTGCATAAAATAGTTTACTATTTTGTACTTTTTTAATATTGAATAAATTGCTTAGATTTCTTACTTTCAAAAGACTTTGGCAATTATTTTATTCCAGTATCATAATACCTTTACACATATAGCACAATACATTTTGTGCTCATACACTTTACAATATATTTTGTATTAAATATAAAAATATATTCTTAGGTCCCAAAGTGTTCTTTAACATCAAACAAAATAACACTATATTAGGTATAGGTATATGATGAGAAATTTAAAATGCTACCTACTTATAAATTGTTTGTATATAAACTTACCGTGATGTTGTGTGATGGATGATATTGAAGAGTGAGGTAGTTTATCTTAGAATTTATGTTGAAATGTTGAAAACATTTAAAATTAAAATAATATATTTGTATTGAAATTTAAAACGTGATAAACTGATAACTGAAAACATGATAAGCGTATGCGCGCACGTGTCACGACAATACTCCGATACTAACCGACAGCAAACGAACATGGGCGAATCCGACCACACTACCCTCCATTAGGTCGGTGAACCAGCGCGGAGCGACGCGCCGCCGACCTCGAAAAGTCGCTGGAGCTCCCGAGAGCGGCGTCGCGCCGCGTCGTTCCGCGCCGATCTTCTTGTGGACGGATCTGTATTAGTTTACAGGCATTATTTTATTGTGCCGCTCCGCGTCGCGCCGCGCCGCTAGACCCCTCTTTAGAAAAGCGCCCAGCTTTAGAAAAGCGTTTCATTAAGAATCCGCATCTCCATGCTCAATATATAAATTTTATGCAGGAATATACATCATTAGGGCATATGGAATTGGTTGATACTGAACACGAAAATAACACTAATAAATATTTTCTTCCACATCATGCTGTCGAAAAGTTAGACAGTTTACGCACAAAATTACGCGTGGTATTCGACGGTTCGTGCCGAACATCTTTGGGTTGAGTTTAACAATTACCCCGTGGCCTGCGAAGCAATTGTCACAGACTTTTGTGTCGACGACTACCTAGGAGGTGCATCTACAAAGGAAAAAGCATTTCAGTTACGAAATGATTTAATAAAAGTAACCCGTCAAGCTGGCTTTGAACTTCGTAAATGGGTATCCAATGATAATTAACTTCTAAATGATATGCCAAATGAAGATAATACTCAATTGTTAGTTTTAGATTTGAAGAATGACGTAACTAAAATCTTAGGATTAGCGACACCTACCAATATAATATTCAAACGATAGACAATAGTGAAAAAAAATTAACCAAGCGGATTATTCTGTCGAAAATCGCGTCTATATTTGACCCGCTCGGGTTAATAGTACCAGTAGTCACATTGTATAAATTATTTATGCAAAAAATATGGCAAATGAAATTAGACTGGGACAGCGAACTTCCAAAAAATCTATTACATGAATGGCCAAAATATATGTCCAATCTTCATTTATTAAATAATTTAAAAATAACACTGTACATTATGGGTTCTGGTAATATACATCGGTTAGAAATACACGGATTTTCGGATGCATCAATTGTAGCTTATGGTGCATGTTTATATTTAAGAACAATAAATGAAGATCAAGTATGCACTGTCCGATTAATATGTGCTAAATCTCGAGTGGCTCCCTTAAAAACTATATCGTTACCTCGATTAGAATTGTGTGGCGCACAATTACTTGCCCGACTTACGAAGAAAATTATAAAAAAATTAAATATTCAAATACATGAAAAATATTTCTGGACTGACTCAACGGTCACACTCGCGTGGATTAAATCCTCGTCAGTGAAATGGAAAACATTTGTTGCCCACCGCGTCGGAGAAATCCAAAGTTATACTTCGGTCTCTGAATGGTATCACGTTCCAACTAATGACAATCCCGCAGATATAATATCGCGCGGTTGCACACCAAATGATATAAGCAATAACTTATTATGGTGGGAGGGTCCCATTTGGTTGAAATTAAAAAAGGAAATGTGGCCGAAAAGCATTGCACGAAAAATCGACGAGTCTCAAGAAATTTTAGAAGCCAAACGGTGGACTCAAATATTTAGTGTTCAAATAGAAAATTCAATTATAGAAAAATATTTTTCATTTTCAAAATTGTTGAGAATTGTTTCTCTCTGTCTACGTTTTAAAACAAATACATTAAAATGCAAAAATCGAATCATAGGACCAATCCAAGCGGACGAGCTGCGAAACACATTGGTTGTATTAATTAAAATGGTTCAAAACTAAACTTGGAGTCAGGAAATAAAAGATTTGCAAAAATATAAACAGGTCTCCGCGAAAAGTAAATTAAAATATTTGAAGCCGTTCGTAGACGATAATGGTGTAATTAGAGTAGGCGGTCGATTAAATAATGCCACATCGATAAGCGTATTTCAGCGGAACCCAATACTACTACCTGCGACGAGTAATTTAACGACATTACTATTTCATTATGAGCACATACGATTACTGCATGCGGGTCCGCAAGCGATTTTGTCATCAATTAGAGAACAATATTGGCCTATTAACGGCAGGAATATAGCCAGAAAAACTGTACATCAGTGCATTACGTGCTTCCGAATAAAACCAACAATAGTTCATCATTAATGGGTAATCGCCAAAGGAACACGTAAATCCAAGTCGTCCTTTTAAAATATGCGGAATTGATTATGGTGGTCCCGTTATGGTAAAATCTAGTTTACAACGCAAAGCTCCTATAACCAAAGGCTATATATGTATATTTGTATGCTTCGCGACCAAAGCAATACATATAAAATTAGCTAGTGATTTATCAACTGAATGTTTTTTAAATGCACTGAGACGATTTTGCAGCAGGCGAGGAATATGCTCAGAAATTTACTCAGATAATGCCACAAATTTCGTGGGTGCTAACCGCAAGTTACAGGAACTTAAAAATTTATTTTTATCAGACACGTTAGATCCCGAAATCCAAAAATTAACGGCATAACTTGGAATACGTTTTCATTTCATCCCTCCTAGATCCCCTAATTTTGGCGGTCTATGGGAAGCGGCCATTAAATCAGTAAAAACTCACTTAAATAAACTATTGGGAAACGCTATTTTAACCTACGAGGAATTAAACACTGTGCTTGCTCAAATAGAAGAGTGCTTAAATTCACGCCCGTTGACTCCTTTATCATCTGATCCATCTGATCCTTCTGTATTTACTCCCGGTCATTTTCTGGTGGGAAGCTCTTTAGTCTCTTTGCCAGAACCCGATTTCACGACAACACCTCTCAATAGATTAACGAGGTGGAGAAGAGTGAGTCATTTGTTTCAAGAATTTTGGCGCCGCTGGTCTAAAGATTATTTGGTGCAACTACAACAGCGAATAAGTGGGAAAATGACAGAGGACCTAGGCTTCGAATTGGCACTGTTGTACTCCTGCTTGATGATAATCTTCCCCCTTTGCGCTGGAAAATAGGACGATTTGAAGAAGTGCATGTCGGAAGTGACGGAGTCATTCGTGTGGCAACTATTTCAACCTCAAGTGGTCAATTCAAAAGAGCAGTCCGATTTTTATGTCCTTTTCCCTTTGAAGGCAATCATAATTAAATATTATTATTATTATTTTTATTTTTTGTATTTGTATTTATATTTATGTTCTGATATTGAATAGCAAAAATTGTATAATTATTTATTATTATAATTATTGAAATATTTTAAATTATTATTTAAAGATGGGCGGTATGATAGGTAGATACCTATAATATCACTGTAATAAATTGTATTATCTCGACTGTCACGGCCCGCGATAACATTTATTCGCCTGGCGATCGTAACGACAATAATGTGTTTGCCGATCAGTTGTCATTCGTAGTCTCTCGAACGTTGTACTACCGTCCACCGAAGATCATTATTGTGTATAATATAATAAAACACTAACCAATTTAAAATAAAAGTATACAGTCCACTTTAAATACCGAACAATATTATAATATATTTTGGTAAAATATCTTTAAAAAATGTATTTCTAATTATTATTATGTACTTTACTGATTTGTTCCTAAATTGTTTATAACTACTTTATACTACTTTATATTAATTATTCGATACTATATTAGACTATTTTCCCTCTATCATATAAATACAAATTTATTTAATACATGTTTTATTTGTCTTAGGTTAATTCAGAACTTGAATTTAAAACTAATGTCCTAGTAGAAAAAAATGATGTGTCAACTGTTGCCAGTGATAGTATGGATGACGTTAGCCTCGACGTCAGCAATGGCCAACATATACATTTATTGGAGAAGGTAAGTACCATATTTTATTTGATAACATAGAATATATTAAATAAAACATTGAAATTTTACCATATGCTAATTTAAAATATTTTCCATCAAATACTACTGAAAGTGAAAACAGTGAAACTAACAGTTTAACAGATAGTGTATTGAATTGTGTTGGATAATTCAGATACATTTTTGATTATATAAAACTATGCAAACCTATTATTCACAATTTCTAAGAAGCTGAAGTATTAAATGCTTACAAAATAGTAAAATAGTAGTTGAAATAAAAGAAGCTATAGATAATATTATAAAAATTTCAAATTCTATACTAGAAAAATGTAATGATATAACAGCACAACTTGAGAGTCAATCTGGTAATATATCTGAAGTAGAAGTGATTGATAGTGTAGTTGAACATGATCCAGGAAAAAGAACAAAAATTATTTCTGATAATCAACGTCAGTATTTAATAATGTTGGGGCCTCATCAACCAATGTTAAATGTTCATCCACGAACAGAAAAATATAGTTTTAAATATTCATGGTTTGAAGAATTCCCACATTTAGAGTATATCATAATTAAGGATGCAGTGTTCTGTTATGTTTGCTCTCTTTTTCCTTGTGGCGCTGGACGAGAAAAAAGTAAAAATAACTGGACTGTTATAGGAGTATGTACAACGGGGTATGTTGTCGACGCATTAAACGTTTTCGAACAAATTACTGGCGGCCAACAGCTTACCCTCCTCCGCACTGATTGAGGACCTCGTTTCAAAAATGAAGAGTGAGATGGAGGATAACTTTGTTGAGTTGGAGATCGCATTCAACAGCACGACCGCCAAAATTGACGTTTCTCCAAAAGTAATAAATGGGAAAAAAAACGAACTTGGAAGTTAGTCTTTGAATGATTTCATAAATAAATACTAAATATAACTGATGAATTAATAATTTGTTAATTAATAAATTTTTTTCAGATCGCGAAACTTTGGCAGCAGGTTACCACGACTCTGGCCGGAACCTTGGTAATTTCTTCGTCACAAATACCGGCAAGGCCTTGACAAAATTATTCGACTTACTTAACCACGAATGCAAACAGAGGAATATTAGGGTGCCCGGTAAGGATAGCGATGTCAGGGAAATCCTGAAGGTATCGGGCACCCTCTAATACGGAAACAAATAGAGACGGCCGGAATTACCCACGATCCTGCTACTAAGAAGCTGTTGGCGAGCTGCTTGCAGCACAGTGAGGCCACGGTTGCGAGGTGTTACCACGTGCCGTCGGCCCACGCTGCAATCGAGCAAAACCGCGCCATGACAACAATCGAACATTCGTCTAAATTGAGAGAGTTCATCGTGTCCAAGTAAGTATTTACAAACAACAACAATTTTATTATGATATTTGTAAATCGTTTTTTTCTTAGCATCGATCATTACATGATTGTCAACGACCCTTACACCGAGTTGCCATCGCTCGACGAGTTTTGGCAGAAAATTCGAAGCCTGGACACGGTTCAGCTTCAATTCCCGATGGTGGATCTCACCATCGGGAATTACAAGTAAATCGTGGACAGAGCGGAGAGTTTGCTGTCAAAGCCGAGGGCTCTCGAGTTGGCACGGGAGGCGTTTCGTGAAGGCCATAGTGAGGAGTCTATTTCAACGGTAACAGTTTGGCATTTGACATCCATGCTTGGGTAAAAACGTTGGATGAAGTCATCGGAGCCGTCCCTTATTGTAAGAATGGTGAAGGCAGAGCTGGCGAGACTCAACCGTGGGTGCAGCTCTAAAGGTGCGATTCCTTAGGACGCGTCTGTAGACGCACGGCCAATGCGGCTGCCGCAGTGCGTCCGAGATTTTGGACGCGCGGCCGATCACGGATTTCTTAGGATTTAAACGCAGCCGCAAGAGACGCACTGCTCATATTTTTCACACAAAATAAAATGTTATTTATTAGAGCCCTTCAGTAGTTTTTCTACGTTTCAACAGTCAGCAGTGTATTGTTAATTATTAATTTTATAGTGTATAGTGAATACCTAAAATATTTTATACAGTGCAGTGTAGGACGTAGATATCATGTCACTTACTAATCTGCAGAAAAAGAAGACACTTCTTCTTCTTTTAGAAGAAATAGATGATGAAGAATTACTTATGAAATTTATGTTTAAAAAAAACCAAAATGTCCATGATATGTTTCAAACTAGAAAATCTGAAGGTTTTTTCAGTGTTTTAATTGAGAAACATTTATTCCGTGACCAGAGAAAATTCAGAGAGTTTTTTAGACTCAGTTATGATCAATTCACATATGTTTTAAATCTAATAGAAGATGATATAAAATGTAATGCGTACAACAGACATAAAGAACCTATAAATCCGGCCGAAAAACTAGCATTAACATTAAGGTAAATACCTAACACTTGTTTCAGAGATATGTGTTGATATTTGTAATGTTAATTATATTGTATTTACAATATGTAATTTAGTTAAACAGAATAATATAATTCATATGCACTTTTTTTTTAATACTCTAACCTTAAAAAATAATAATTAAATTTCAACTGATTTTATAGGTACTGAATTTATTTATTCACTTAAAAAACATAAGAACATTATATTATCAACTAATATAGAATATACATTATAAATAAATTTAAAAAAAAAACATTTCACTTTGCACTTAACGAAAAACAAATAAAAAACTAATAAAAGTATAAAAACTGTTTAGATTTTATACATATATAATATTATGAGCTGATGACCTGACTTGTCGCCCTTAATTATTAGTATCTTCATAAAGTTGTGTAAATGGTTGAGTCCAATTTACAGCTGAACTGTCTATATCAAATGAACTTGACGTAGAATTACTTTGCAATGAACTTGTGTATGAATGTAAAGACTGAATGTCTTGTGGACTTGAAATTACTGTTTGTGGAAATATGTAAGTAGAAGAAGAAGAAGAAGATTGACGCTTTGGCTGAATATTTTGTACCTCTAATTCACTGACAATACGAAAAACATCTGTTTTGGCTTTAATTTTCAATTCTGGAGTAAATTGTTTGACAGTTGCAGCTATGCTTTCAAAAAATATATCTATTGGATCTCTTTCATTTGTTTCATATAACTTCTCCAATAACTTATTACGCTCATCGCTTCTTTTATTTAAAGTATCTATAATAATTTCATTTTGTTTAAGTCGTTTTGTTGTTAAGGATACTTTTGCTTTTTTAGCTATAACTTCAGTTGGCTCAGAAAAAGACGTGGATGGTAAATGTTCATAATCTGACTCGATCTGTGATAAAATAGAGTCATCTACTGGCGAATCATGTACTTGGCTACTTGTATCATCATTTTGTGTTGCATTTTGATCTTCGTTTGAGATCACATTTGATAATCCCCTAAACAAAAATAATATTAATAGTTGTTAAAGATGTTTTATACTATTTATTATGAAACGTGATGTATGTAGGTATTAGATTTGAATTAAATGAAAACTTTTTGTATTAATTGTAGTGATTCTGAGCGGAAATGATCAGTTAAAACTGTATATTATTCTATGATATAATATATTTATATTGATACCTAATAGTAATTAAAGCTCGAACACTAGTTCTGTATAAAAATCCTGCTTTCCTCAATTTAAATGTTTAATACAAGGTTCCCCATATTTTCATATAATAGCAGTTGGAAAATATTAAAAATACATAGGCACGTTTTTTTTAGAAACATTTAAAGTTGAAATTTTGACAAAATTTATTTAATTGAAAATTATTCTAATAGTCTAATATTAATAGTTAATGTCAATAATGGCTTATATTAATTCTTTATAATGTATATACCTACATAAACCTTCCATGAATGACTGAGTGTGTCTGGTAAATAATGAATCTGATTTAATTAATTTGGAATTTATTTTATAGTTGCTTTAATTTTTTTTTTTAAATAATAACAATATAATTAATATAGTATAAAATATCCTAGACTGACAAACTGTCTCAGCTCAGAATCGTTTTTCGTATACAATGATATTATATCATTGAATTCAAATTTAATACCATCCATTACAGTAACCCACTTTTTCAAAATAAAGTTATATTGTTAAAAAAGAATTAATTAAAAAAAATATATACAAATAAACAATTATTACTGTCTTTCATAAGTCGTTGTGTCCAAGAAAGATAAAACATCGGCAAGCATCCATTTCGATGGTTTATCTTTGGCTGCTGATCCAGTCCCCAATTTTCTGTTTCTTTTTTTTTTATTATAAGTATCTTTTATACTTCTCCAACGTTTTTTACAGTCTTCGGCTATAATAATTTTTAAAGTAAAAACAAAATCATTGTTATAACCAGTTCGTACATGATATTACAACGAGTCACAATAATTACAAGCTAATAAATAATTATCATATAACAGAAGTTTTCCCATAAACATTCGACATATTATTTTTCGTTATAATTAAGTTACGTTATTTTTAATTCGCTTCTTTCGCCGGTTACCTCGTAAAATAATAATAATAATAATAATAATAATAATAATAAACACGTAAATACAATTTAAAAATATACATATTTAAAAGGATATTTACTAGTTTATCAACGTTTAAATTTAGAATCACAGTACTGGAATTATATTATTAACATTTATAAATTATTTACTATACAAAATTGAAACAACGTGGAAAATACAGGCTTGTCGAAAATACTAAATTCTATATTTAAAAATATATTTTAATAATAATGATAATAATTTCAATAACATTATTTTAGTTTTAATTTTAATAAATTTACGAAGCCAATTAAAATCATTAATATTTATTATTTTTTTAGGTTTATGGCAACTGGGGAGTCTTTGAGATCACTAGCGTTCTCATTTCGTATTTCACAAGGTTATATTTCTCGAATAATTCCTCTTGTAGTAAAAAGTTTAAGTTCACGATTAACACCTCTACTATTAGCTCCACCTACAAAAAATAATTTAATTCATATTGCAGAAGAATTCTGGACAAAATGGAATTTCCCTAATTGCACCGGAGCAATCGATGGAAAACACATCAGAATATTTTGTCCAGGAAAATCAGGATCATTATTTTTTAATTATAAAGATTTTTTCTCAGTTGTTCTGTTGGCTATTGTTGATGCCAATTGTAAATTCATATTCGTTGACATCGGTGCATATGGCAAAGAGGGGGATAGTGGGATATTTACGAAATCTAGTTTATATAAGCAAATACAAACAGGAGAATATTTTCCCCGTGATGCTAAGCTCCCCAACTGCGAAAAATCATTACCATATGTTCATGTTGGCGATGAGGCTTTTCGCTTGGAAACTCATATGATGAGACCATATACTAGAGGTGAAGCCAAAAAAGATTATAAGAAAACAATTTTTAATTATCGTTTATCGCGAGCACGAAGAACTTCGGAAAACGCTTTTGGGCTTTTAAGTCAAGTATTTCGTATATTTTACACTCCTATAGCCTTAAAATGTGAAACAATTGATCACTTGGTATTATCAGCTTGTTGCCTACATAACCTTCTACGAAATAGATACATAGAATCTACAAATAATTATTATTACGAATTTGATAAAAACGAAGCTCCCCCTACCAAAAATATGATACCAATTGCAAGATCTGGAGGATTTGCTAACTATGAAGGATTTCTAGTCAGGGATGAATTCACAACATTTTTCTGCAGTACACAAGGGTCAGTTCCATGGCAAGATCATGAAACTCAAAAAATAGATTAAAATGTATCATGTACACTAAGTTTAGTTACCTATTATTATATTATATTACTTAATATCATTAATTAGTTATTTCTTTATGCTATAGTGTAATTATATTATGAAAATGTATTTGAATAAACGTACTTACTACTTTTTTTTAAATTAATTGAAATTTCTTTCCATACATTCTCTCTTATTTGAATATCTTTGTATGCTTGATGTTTTAAATCAAACAAGCAAGGGTGATTGCTGACCAACTCAACCAACATTACATCTTCTTCGTAAGAAAAAAGTAATTTTGACGACATATTGTAGAAAAAGAAGCTATATTTAATTATAATTATTATTTAAATAATAATATATTTGCATATGCTGGCCGCGCGTCTCGTGCGATCTGACTGCCTTCGAAGCGGTCATCGCAACGCGTCTATTGACGCATGCGACTGTCGCGCGCGTCTGCGGCAGTCTAGGACATCAGTTATATTTAAAAATAAGTAAAGTAGTATCGGCGCGTCCAAAATCTCGGACGCACTGCGGCAGCCGCATTGGCCGTGCGTCTACAGACGCGTCCTAAGGAATCGCACCTTAAAATGGAATAGCCGGACTTCGGTGCAGTGGAGTCAACCACTTGAAAAAAACTGTCGACGTGGGAACGTCAGTGGAGTAGGTCTCTTGGGGAAACCACTTAAAAAAACGCGCTGTAGCTGATACCCCTAGGGTAGTGTGGAAATTCAGCTAGTACACCAGGGCAGCGTCTAAACAAAATATATGTTAAAAAACCCTTTTAGATTTCAGAAATGAAGTTTTTCGATAAGAAAACAGGTTAGTTTTTAATTTTTAATTAAATATTCAAATGCATTATTTTTTCTTTCAACTAATTTAATGGTAACCGTCATGTTCGAGGAGGTAGATTTAGAGGACCATAACAAAGGTAGGTATAGTAATCTTATCTTTATTTTAACTTTTGTACATTATTTTTTGAATTTCAGCATTGCAAGTCATAGGGCTGCTACAACGGTATGTTTTGATCATTTTAAATAACGTATAGTTTATAGGCCATTTTTATAAATTTATAATATTTGTATTTCAGATCGTAGGAGAGGCTCCGGTGGTTTTTCCACCACCACCGAGGAAGACAGCGATGATGTGAGTACTCATCTAGACTTTTTTTTCATTTTGGTTTACTTATTTCGTTTGACCTTTTAGATGGACATCGATGATTTAAAAAAAACCTGATAGTGAAGTTGTGAGTATTGCTCTAGTCTTTTTTTACATTTTGATTACTTATTTTGTTTTTATCTTGAAATTTTAGATGGACATCGAATATTTAAAAACTGCCGATAGTGAAGTTGTGAGTATTGCCCTAGTCTTTTTTTTTCATTTTGTTTTACTAATTTCGTTTTTATATTTACATATCAGACGAACGGGGAAGAAATGGGGAATCAGGCACTTTAGTCCACTGTATACATCATTATAATATAAACCTTCCTCTTGAATCACTTAAAAAATAGTTTAAAATACCGCATCAAAATCCGTTGCAGATCTAAGCATTTAGAGAAAAAAGGGACTTTGTTTTATAATATGTTAAGATAAGTTTTATTTTTGGTTTCCTGGTAATCGTTTAATTTTGACCGCTACAGTTGCCACGCACCGGGTGGAACCGTCGACGAAAACCTCTCTCGTACGCGCATGCACATGTCAATAACCCGGTAACCATATTATACATTTCACTATACTCTGTACCAAATAAGAGCGCACCGCGTTGGCGCATCCAAATGAATCGCGGAGCGACGTCTGGACCCCCTGGTCGGGTCTATTCGCTCTGTGATTGGTCGCCGATCGTCGGTCGGATTCGCCGCCGTGAATACAGGGAGCTGAAGTAATAATGCGTTTCACGCGTATTAATCAGTAAAATAATACACATACTTTTCGTTTTTTTCTCTTAACATAGGTATTGAACTCAATATAATATTAAAAACATTCAAAATATTCACCAATGCGCACCAAAAATATAACATCGTCTAACCGCGTATACCGTTAAAATTGGTGTGATAATATACAACACTCTGTATTCAGAGTTGACCTGGCCGGCGCCGGAATACGCTGCGGCAGCGCTCTCTGACATGCGCGAGGTTCGACCGGTTTTCGTGCGCCGCCCGGTGCGCTCTTATTTGGTACAGAGTATACACGAATTTCACAACATACATATTTTTTTGACAAAAATTAAAGTTAGTTAGCGTTGTCTGATTTTGTTTCTGAAAAAAATATTTTATTCAGCATAAAAATGTATGTAGATCGTACGAAACATTTTAAGTTTTTAATATTAATTTTAATTAAAGTTCATATTTTCAAGTTTTCAATTACAATTCACAATTATAAAAAAATTTAGTTTTTACAAAGTGCTTCGTAGGATCAATAGACAATTTTCAGGTAAGTTAAATTTTTTTTTTTTCAGAATCAAAATCGGTCAACGTCAACTAACTTTAATTTTGTCAATACTTTGGTCTTTTCAGCTAAAATTGACGGCAGTAGCGAGGCCCCTTAAAGATCCTCTATTAAAAAAGAAGCTTGCGCAAGTATTAAATAAAAATTGGATGCTTCAACACCACCACTTTTAACGTTTAAAGTAGTGAAAAGGTGGGTCCTTTGCCCTTTGGATATTTATTACTTGCCTTTGAAATATTTTCAGTTCGCCACTCCACTGAGTGTGAATCGACCATTAACGAGGAAAGCAGACCACTGAAACATAGTTTCACGCAATGACTAGGTACAGTTAATAATAAGCGAATAATTATTAATACGACGACTATGTGGGTGTTGACTAGTTGCCCCCCACGTCTGTTATCGTGATTTAAAAAATATATCAATTGCCCTCAACCAAATGTACCAGTTGAACTTACATGATAATATATACTATATACACGATTACAATATATAGCCCTTAACCCGTCACTGGTCGCGTAATTTTTTTTTTATTTTTGGTAGCGCGGGGTAAAAATTTTCCATAATATGAAATATACTTAAAATATTACTTTAAGTTGGTACTTTATAACTAACAATACTTATAATTAATATACATAAATAATTATACAATTTGAATTGCATATGGGTCTTTAGTTTTATGAATAAAAATTAAAAAATAATAAAAACTGTAAGGTTATACAATACTATTATAATGTAAAACAATCTGGGCAAATTTCTATCAAGTGATCTCTACATATAGGCTTTATGCAATTGGTGCACACTTTAGTGGTTTTTTTGTCTTTCGCTCTTTCACAAAAAGCACATCGGTTCGAACTTCTCAACTTTTGAGGGAGCACTTCTCTTTCAACCTATAATATAAATAAATTAAAAAAATTAATTAATTAATTAAAAAAAAATGTTTTACTACCGTAACATAATTTTGAAGTCTTGTTTTTAGTGGTCTGGGCAGACTGCTAATTGTCATTCTGTACTTTAGTTGATCCTCCATAAGTTGCCTACCCAATGATTTCAAAAATTCTAAACGTGTTTTCTTTACTTGCGTATTTTCTTGGTACACAATCATTGAATTTAGTCCTCCGATATTGAGTAGAGAATAAAATACTGTAAGAGGCCAACGAGCACCATGTCTTGCCACACTGTAGTTTTCAGTCATCCAATCCATAGTATCTACACCACTTTTGGTCGAATTGTAAAACGTAATCATTTCTGGCTTTAATTTTTCTCCAGTATTCATATCAATAGCCTTATCATTGTGCATTGTCGAAGCTATCAAAACTATTTTATTTGATTTAGCTTTATACGACACGATTGATTTATTTTTTGAAAAACCAAAATATGACGAATATAAGTCACGACCTTTTGAAATGAGAAATTCGGGAGGGATTTCTCTTTTATTTTTTCGAACTGTGCCTACCATAGTTGTTTTATTTTGGAGTAAATAATCTGCTAATGGAAAACTAGTAAACCAATTGTCAAATGTAATATTTCTACCAGTATTCAAAATTGGGTTTGCTAATCGTTTTACAACGCAAGATGCAGCGTTATCAACTAAAAATGGACCATCTGGTTGTTTACCAGCATAAAGTTCGATATTGAGTGTGTAATAATTAATACTATCTACTAAAGCAAACATTTTTAGTCCATATTTTGCGGGCTTATTTGGCATATATACTCTAAAAGAACAATGACCTCTGAATGATTGTAATTTTTCGTCAATCGTGCAGTATTCGGAAACAGTATATGTATTTTTACAATTATTTACAAATAAATCAAATATATGTCGAATATGAGTCATATTATCAATTTTTTTTCTTATGTCCCTTCCTCGGATATCATCAAATGGTATACAACGAAGTAAAAAAGGGAATCTATGCTCCGAGATAACACATGCTAAAATATCTACTCCACACCCATATATTTTCCAAAGATCCTCAGTGGATCTATGATTACATTTTATTGCTCCTAAAATAAAATAATAAATGATAAACAATTTTTAAATTTTTTTGAAAAAAATTAACTTACCAATTGTATATAATATGCCCAAAAGTGCTTTGATTTCGCGAACACATGTTTCCGAAGCATCTCTTTCTCTATTGTAATTAGGTCGAACTTTTTCAATATATATATTCGTCATTTTTACTATATGCTCTAACATATCATTTGAAAAAAATAACATCCAACACTAATTGTTTTTGCACTTTTAGCTATAAGTTTAACTCCTGATTTTTCTGTAACTTTATTATAATTCGCGATTCTTACACGAACATTTGGTTTTCTATTCCATTTTGTTCCGTCTTTTCCAATAAAAAATTTGCGTCTCATAGATATAGGTAAATCATCGTCAGATTCATGGTACGAATATTCAGAATCTGATTCATTAGAAATATTTCCGATAGAACTTGCACTAGAAATTGACTGTTCTGTATCCGTATTTTGGTCATGAGGTTCATATGTTGGTGTATTGTTATCATTATCATCACTTGAAAAGCCTCCTAATAAATCATCTTCTTCTGTGCTTTCTAATAGACACTCAATCCGCCGTCTCTCAATTTCGTCCATGTTTTTTATAATAATAATCAAGAGAAAATTAAATTGAAAAAAAATGTAAAATAATAAATTAATCTTCAGTCGCGCGGGGTAAATATTGTCCAAACAAATAAATTGTTCTCGACCCGCATGCACCGAACAAACTAAAATAGTTTTCGATGAAGTAAATGTCATTATGTTATTATGATGTGATTTTGATAAGCTAATCGTAATTACGAAACTATATTACAGATAATTACGGAAAAACACGTACTTATAAATAAACTTGGAGATTATTTACCCCGCGCGACCAGTGACGGGTTAAAATAGTGGAGGTAAATATAAAAATAATAAATACAATTATTTAAAATGGTATAATATGGTAGAAAAAATGCATATTCTTGGAATATATACCTAATATTGTATTTTGTAATAAATAATAATAACTAACAAAATAATATGAATACAATAGTCAATAAAATAATAAATATTATAATTATGTAACATTCAATATTGTAATTTTTCAACAAAAAAATAGTATAAAATGATATAATAATATAATTATAATGAAAAGCGGCATATTTAATGTGATAATTTGTCAAAAAAAAATATTATAGTAAAAAAATTAGATAAAATACTATGTACTATGTTTTTTTATAATAATTACTATTTATAATTATTATTTGTATAATATTTACCTCCATTAAATTACGGGAAATATATTTTAATCGTACATTTATACCATATGAGGGCAACTGGTAGATTCGGTTGGGGGCAACTGGTACATTTTGCTCTAGGTAGTTTGGGAGGAATTGGTATAAAAAGAAGTAGGTACTTTTGGGGGCAATTGGTACATGTCCGACTATGCGACCGCCAATTTATGCAACCGGATCAGTGACAAATAAATACCAAACAGACGAACATGCAATTATTTTATATTAAAATAAAATGTAAATATATAATTAATTTTACTTAACCTTGTAATCATTGCAGATAATTTATAAGGCTACTAGTGAGCCCCCCCCCATGATAAAACACCACGGGTCAATACAAATAGCTATTGTATAGAAACAAATTACTTCAGCTCTTATATACTTATAGGTGGACAAAAAAATTAGTATTATAAATTTGCTCATGTAATCATTCTCATTCTACTACACTTAATCAAGTGAATACAAAACATCAGGTATATTATTATATATTTATAATTAATAAATAATATGATACTAATGTATGGGCTTTTTATTTCACCCTTTGATTTTTTTGCTCTTTGTTTTCTTTTTTCTAGATTTAAACTTAAGTTTCACATAAGGCATGATAAATGCTGTAATTGTTCGTAATGCTATTCTTTCACGTATCGCGTCCAGTTTGTCATACACCTCACGTTTTAGATAAACCCGTTCGGCTTCTTGGAGTTCAGCAAGGTGAGTCGACATCGCCGTAATAGTATCCTTAAATAGTTAAATCACGTACAATTATTTTATTATTATCAGATCAATTATTCCAATGATCAACTCATTTTAAATGTTTTTACAATCGTAATAGTCTTATTTAGGTGGCCAGGGTAGCCTATACGAATATAAATATGTGGCTTAGTGCAAGAAGGGCCAATGTAGATGATATGTATCTAGTTCTGATTCTAATGATTCAATTGTAATTGATAATATTGAAGCAAATAATAACACTTTAAATGAACAAAGTATACCAAATGCAGAAAAAAATTATTTTGTGTCAGAAACTGATCAACTGCAACAAAATGAACAACGTTTACCAAATGCAGAAGAAAATGAATTAGTGCAACAAATTGATCCTGTACAACAAAATAAAAGAGAACTTAAGAAAAATGAGGGTCTAAAAACTAGAAAACGATTATAAAATTATAAAGCTTGGGTAAGAAATGTTGAAAATAATATTAAAGAAAAGTCTTTATTACCGCCATGTTCTTGTAAAATGAAATGTTTTGAAAAATTTTCCAGTGAAAACTGAAAAATCATTTTCAATAACTATTACAATTTACCAAGGCAAAGTGAATAACAGTTTATTGCATCATCTGTCATTGAGACTGATAAAAAAGTGCAAAGGGTCAGAAAAAACAAAGAAGTGGAGAGTAAAAGAAAATATAGTAATTATATTTTCTTTCAAAAAGAAATGAAAATGTTAAAGTTTGTCAACTCATATTAATAAATACCTTATCAGTCACATTAAAATAAGTGAGGAATACTGTTGAAAAAAAATATAAACTAATTCTGGTAAGTGCAAAGTTGACAATAGAGGTTAACATGTAAATCATAAAAAAATCAATGAAAATGACAAGGAAAGTATTTGTAAAAACATCAAAATTTTCCCTTTTGTGGAAAATCACTACTCAAGAACAGACCCAGAAAAAACTTATTTGAACCCTGATTTATCTATATCCCAAATGTATAGATTATATGTCAGTTACTGTAAAGATTTAGAAAAAGTTGCACTTAATGAAGCTATTATACAGTAAAATTGTTGTTAAAGAATTTAATATGTTATTTAAGAAACCAAATAATGACACATGTCAGCAATGTGATAAATACGATATGATTATGAAATCAACAACAGATAAAGAAACACGAGAATTTGCTAAGATAGAAAAAATTAAACGTTTGGAAATGGCTGAAGAATCATATGAAAAAAAAAAGATAAATACCTAAGTAAGACTAACAAAACAAACTATTTCTTTGAATTTGCAAAAATGCCTTCCTACACCAATGTTGATGAATGAGGTATCATTTTATAAGAGGCAACCATGGACACTCAACTTAACAATGTAAGAAACAACTATTGATGAATCAAGACCTATTTGCTATTTGTGATATGAGACGATTGCTGCAAGAGGAGGCCAGGAGATTGCATCATGTCTTTTAAAACACATTTTTGAGAAAGTGAAAGAAGATATTGAAATTATTAATTTTTATAGTGACTGTTGTCCGGGACAAAACCGCAATATTTATATGACTATAATGCTATTGCAAGTTGTGAACATATGTAATACCAGACAGAGACAACTAACTATAAATCATAATTTTTTGGAGCCTTTTGCAGGCCGATTCCAACCATGCATTTATAGAAAAAACTAAAAAAAAATCTTTAGCATACATTGAAGTTCCTAGAGACTGGGTAAATCTTATCAGGATGATACACCACACTCCACCTATTAAAGTACAAGAAATGTTACAATCAGAATTTTTTAATTTTAAAAAACTTCTGAGTACTTTAAATGTTCACCGCAATAAAAAGGTGGTTAAGTGGATGTCACTCTGCTGTACAGTAGGTTACAAGTGTGTCACTGTAATAGATGGTGTTAAATTTGAATTCAATGATTGTATAAGAAAAACGATTCTGAGCGAAAACGGTAAGTCAGCCCATGGTATTACTTAGTTTGATGATATGATTGTGAATAAAATTTACCTATTTACGTGGAACCTTGTTTTAAATTTTCAATCATTAGCTATAAAAGTTGAACATTTTATAAATTTTTAAATACAAAACAATTATTAAATTTTCACATTGATAAATTTTGTCAAAATTCAAACTTTAAATGCTTATAAAAAAAATTGTGTCTATGTGTTTTTAATATTTTTCAACTGCTATTGTAACAGTATATCAGGAACCTTACATACAATTTTCAAGCTTTTTTACCCTAAAAATAAAATTTTATTGATATTTATAGAAAAAAAAAACTCAAAAAATTTAAAACTGACAATGACCGTAAACAGCTCAAAAAGAGTCAAAATATTTTTAAAATTTTATGGTGTATAGAAAATGAAAATATGTTCATTTAGTAAAATTTTCATGTACTCACAGTTATTCGTTTTTGAATGACAATAAAATAACAAAACCTCTACATGAGAAATCGAGTTAATATCCAATAGTGTGAAAATATGAATTTCAAACGCTCATAAAAATTTTATTTGATTTGCTTGTAGACATTTTTTTTTTTGATAAATGTAGACAACTTTATGAGGAATCTTGTATAACATTTTAAAATCTTAGATTTAAAAAGAAAAATTTTATGAATTCTCAGCTCAAAATAATTTGCTAATTTTCGTGATTTTTCCAAATTTTGTCAATTTTTAAACTTTAAATGCTTTTAAAAAAAAACTGTGAAGGATTTTTAATTTTTTTCAAAAGTCATTGTAACAATATAGTAGGAACCTTGTATTAAATTTTCAAGTATTTTTACTCAACAAATAAAGTTTTATCGACATTCATAGAAAAAAATACTAATAAAATTCTAAACCAAAAATGTTCCTTAACAGTTCAAAACAAATCAAAATATTTTGAAAACTTTATTGTGTATAGAAAATGCAAATATAAACAACCAGTGAAAATTAACACCACAAAAAAAAGTTACACCAAAAACCAAAATCAATTTTGTCAAAAACCGATTTTGCGTAAAAATTCCAGTTTTTCCTAAAAAGGTCGTGATACCCGCATGTGTTGTCTCCGTCTTACAAGTGCGTAACATAACAAATTCTACTCAAAGCAGAACACGTGTGGCTCCGTTAGTTTAAAAATTAGATTGAATTGACCTCTTATAAAGGTAAGACTATTATCGTCTAGAATGTTTAAATCTCATGGGCTTTTTATTATATTTTAATTTTAAAGCGAGCTATGAGTATTTTAAAATTGTAAATTGTTTGTACATTTTAAAATATTATGATTAAGTAATGTGTCATGTTATAATTTCTACTTCTTATTTTTAATACAGTTTTTGTCTATAAAAGATATTTTTATTTATGCAGTTGTACATTATTATTATGGCCAATGTCGAATAATATTAAAATATTTTTTTTATAGATGGGCCAATGTCAATTTTTATACTTTATTTTAGTTGGACTGGTTAAAGAATCTATCAGAAAGACTGAGGCGGCGGCACGGTGCGCCGTCCTGGCCGCGGAACCCTGACCGATGCGAACACCAAGTGACGAACACGCACTCCGAGGGCGGCGGAGAAGGGGCTTAGGGCCCGTCGCGCAGGCCGGGACCACCGAGCCGATGTA